TTTGCTTCTAAGTGTAATTTTTAGCATAGCATAGCTACAAATTTTAATACATTTTATCCTTAAATTTCAGACATATTGTATTTAGATAGTTCGTATATGGAGGTAAGTCTTAGCTTTTTCTTATATTAGGAGAGAAATTAATGTTCTTTTTTTCTAAACAGTACTTTAAATCGACACTATTGCCATTTTTGGGCTGATGAAAATCCTAGTATGTTCCACGAAACACAAACCCAACAGTCATTGAAATTAAGTGTAGGGGCAAGATTTGATGGCTATCGTATTGTTGGGCCATTCTTTTTGCTACAAAATTTGAATGAATAAACATCTACAATTATTAAAGTTGATTCCTTTTTGACAGAATCTGTCAACATTAGTACAAAACTGTTATGTCGAAAATTTTATGAAAATTAAGTAACGATGAGATTTGCATTTAAACAAGCATATCTACGCCCTGTAAGACTGTAGTAACTTTCAAATGCTCAACCGTCTTAATATCAGAACTACAACAGTTTAACTATTTTTCAGATATTAATTTATGTGACTTTGGCAAAGATCTGTATTTTTCTTGTAATATTAAATTCTTTGTCCTCTTTTATCAACTAAAAATAAGACTAATCAATTTACTGCAACACCAACCAGTGGATTATCATACTATATACAAAATATATAGCAATTATAACAATATCTTTAATTTTTATTATTGATTCCTTCACTAAATCATTCTATATGTATTTATGTCTACTTTAGAGCCAGCCAGTCACAAGAACAGTCTTGTGACTGTCACAAGCCAGTCCAAAAAAAGGCAGTCCGGGTGATCTTAGGACTAAAAGCGGGAGAATCCTGTGGAGGCTGATTCAAATCACTCATAATACTCACTTTATGTATATATATATATATATATATATATATATATATATATATATATCTGTGGCTTGGAATAAAAAGGGCGGATGTCCATTTTTCTGTATTTTAGGTTCATATCATTTCTATAGTAAGCATATGAGATAGTTTCATTTAAAAAAAGTCAGATGTCCATATCTTTTACGGTTTTTAACTTTTGCAAAACAAAAAGGCGTAAGTAAATACTCCTTTTTACGTAAAAAGGTCGTATATGGGACACCCGCCCTTTCTTGCAATATAATGGACATAAGATTATTATGCTTCAGCACGTGCAGTTTGAAAAAGGCGGTAGTCCAACTGACATTCTCAAAACCTAACCTCAATTAATATATTAGTGTGCCTTGTTTCTTTGGCGTTTATAGAGTATTCTTTATTGTGAAATACTTATTTATACAGATGAATAGGGGAAAGAAAATATTACTATTGGCAAAACAGTGCACTAATCAAGAAGATGATAAAGAAAATTTAACTTATCTTTGTAAGTACATACCTGCATTATAAAGATACACATATAATATGATTAGTAATGATGTACTATTCCAAATTCTTTCCTTGCAGCAAATAATGAAAACATACAACTAGAATGTAAGTTTGCGGATTCTTTTGTTGCTCCTAATGTTATATTAGAATCACATGGAACTCCTATAGGTAAGATTTAGTTTTTAAATTGATTTTACTCTATACTACGAAAAAATGCTTTGATTTTAGAGAACATCAGTGAAGTTGTTTATTCCGCAAGTAATGCTGAAATTTCTCTAAATAATCTAGAACAAGAGGTACCCAGTAGTGGTAAAATTTACATTTTCATTTTGTATGTCCACTTAAAACTTATATATTTGTATTATTTTAGTTACAGAAGATATAAATCTTATCACTCCTAATACGTATGTTGGTAATGGTATGATTCATGCAGGTGAATCTCTGGGAGAAACTAATAGATTGCAGGTTTTACATGGAAATGATGATGGAGATGTGAACACCATGCGAAGTTCTAAAGGTAAGATGAGCTTAGTAAACCTTGTATCTATGCACTAGAGAACTAAACTAATTTTTTTTTAGGTGATACTAATGATTTAGATATGAATGATCTAAGTTACGATCCAACCTTAGATTTAGCCAATGATACAGAAAATGACAGTGAAGAAGGGACAGAAAAAATTGAACATAAAAATGATGGCCCAGTTTCTGGTAACGATACAGAACAAGAAGAGATTGATTCTCAAAATAGGAGAAAAACGACAAGGAAACGAAAATCAAACCCTAAGTTATGGAAAACAAACATTGCAAAGGCAAAAAGACTAAAAGGAGAAGAATATGTTGGATTTAAAGAAAACGTAAAAGCTGCTAAAGTGATGGGTATACCTTGCAATTGCAGAAAATTATGCCATACTAAACTTGATGCAAATGAACGATTTCAAATATTTCAAACGTTTTGGAAAAAAAACTTATAGTTGGGAACAAAGACATCAATTTTTGGCACAAAGTGTTAATATTCGTCCAAAAGATAGACAAAGATCCAGAAATGGCAGTCAGTTAGGTAGGAGAAACTTTACTTACAGCTATGTTTTCAATATAAATAACAAAAATATTGAAATATGTAAAGTTATGTTTTTGAATACATTATCAATATCTGAAAAGGTTGTCCGTGGAGCAGTAATAAAGAAACTGCAATCGCCAGGAGGTTTAATTTCAAGTCCTGGTGAACCAATATCAGCACGAAAATTAGATGAAGAAAAGAAGCGCACTGTTATGGAACATATTAATCTATTTCCAAGAGTAGAAAGTCATTACAGTCGTAGCCATTCTAAGAGACAATATTTGAGTCCTGAATTAAACATTGCTGTAATGTACAAATTATACACTGATTGGTGTAATGAAGAACTCATACCCAAAGAAAAAATTGTAACAGCTAGTATGTACAGATTCATATTCTGCACTGAATTTAATCTGAGTTTTAAACTACCGAACTTGGATACATGTGATATGTGTGATAAAATTACATGTAGTTTACAAAACGAAAATGATGAGAATCTAAGAAAAACGATCGAAAATGCTAAAAAAATACATTTAGATGATGCAGAAACTCGCTATGGTCTAAAGAGAGTAGATAAAGAGAGAGCCAAGAAGGAAGGCTCAAACGAACGGGTTGTAATGATTGATTTACAAAAATGTTTACCGACCCCATTATTAACCAATGCAAAATCATTCTATCTTCGACAGCTATGGACGTTTAATTTTACTATTCACGACAACACTGCTGGAGAAAATCATTGTATGATATGGAATGAGACAATATCTGAGAGAGGTGGGAATCAAATAGCATCGTGTTTATTTAAGTGGATTCAAACTCTCCCAAATAATATAAAAGAAATTACTCTTTGGTCTGACAACTGCGCTGGGCAAAACAGAAATACAATGTTGTTTGCCATGTATTTGTACGTGGTTCAAAAATTTCCTCATCTTGTAATAAACCACAAATTTTTATTGACAGGCCATACACATATGGAAGTAGATGCAGTTCATGCTGTAATTGAGAAGAAAAAGAAAAGACTGTCTACAATGTCCATTCAAACTCCTAGAGAATGGGCACAGTTTATACGTACTTGCCAATACAGTAATAAGCCATTGGAAGTACACGAAATGTCCCAAAATGAATTTTTCAACTGGGCTAATTTATATTCTGTTCATGGAAAATTAATTGTTCGTAAAGTAAACACAGATGGAGAACCGTTTTTGAGTTCTAATATTGTTCATTTGCAAGTACGATCAGATAAACCTGGTAAATTACTATATAAAACGGAATTTCATGCAGCCTTTAAAGAAGTAGATTTTAAAAGAAACAAAAGACTGAACTTAGGTTTCTCGAATAATTGTTTAAAGCCAATAAGGGTAAATAGTTTAATTCCCATTAATAAAAAGAAATACGACAATCTTATGGTTCTTCTACAATGGGTGGACGAACAGCATAAAGATTATTATATAAACCTCCCACATTATACAAATCTAGATTCTGATGAAGACGACCGAAAATAAAATCTTTTATAAACTAAATAAAATTATTAATCTATGTTTTGTTATACCTTGAAAATAAAATTGTTCATTTTGTAAGAGGATTATTTATTTATAAAGTCGGATGTCCATAAGAATTAATTGTACACCAGTTCATTAAAAAAGGCGGTTGTCCCTTTATTTTATATTATTTATAATATTTCTAGCATACAAATTGTTTCAAACATAGGGATATTCCAATATTATCTTTTACAAATACATTGATGGTGCTGTATTAAGTAGTAAGCTTATAAACTACAAGCAAATGTGGTTAATATGCGGCCAAATATAAACAATGGCCGATTACTCGAGTTTACGTTTTGTGACACCCGCCCTTTTCATTCCAAGCCACAGATATATATATATATATATATATATATATATATATATATATTATATATATATATATATATATATATATATGAATGTATTATGTTTCTTTTTAAAAATTTTCTTTGTTTTATCACCTGCATCCCAATCATGAATATAATACAAGAAGCCTTAATTTGAATTTGCCACTTCACAGATTGTCTATAACAGAGAGAAGTACTTTGTACGCCTGTGTTAAATTTTATTATAGTCTACCATCTGACATTCAACAGGAAACACACTATAGAGCTTTTACAAGAAAGGTTATTCAACACCTAGTTGACATTGAGCCCTATACTGTAGCGGAGTGCCTGGCCTATCATTCTCCTTGATCAGCATATTTAATTTGTAATGTTAATATATTTTAAATGTGTGATGTCAATATATTTTTTTTAATGTATAATTAATAATGTGACATTATTTGCTCAATTATGTTTAAAAATTTATGCAAATAAAAATTTACTCTGTTCTAAAGGATGTGCTAGTGACTCTCGATTTGTTCTCTTAAAGTAAAGTGAAGAATTTTTATTCATAAACTGGTTAGTTGTAAAATTGATTCTTATGATTTACATACTTTTTGGTTATTGCTTACATTTGCATTATTTGTTATTATTAATTGTTCTCTAGTTATAGTTACCATACTATGTATATTTTTTGAAAAATAGGGTTACATAAATAAATAGTAAAAATAAAAATATATTTATTCCATATAATGTGATGATATTCACTTGTAAGAAAACTAAAATACATTATGTCAAAAAATATGGTAAGTTTTACTGGTCTATTCCACCACAAGTATAATATGGTTGAAATAATTTCTCAGTCATCATATATGTTTTTAATAACTCCACAACATGCACTGATGAAGGCATGGTTCCACTTTCTAGAAGGTCAAATGATGGGCACAAATATGGATATTTAACTTTGGGTATAAATTTTTCTGTGTGTTTTTCTGTACATTTCATATTCTTTATTCGGGCTATTTTTGCCATTTTTTTTATAATCAGCGTTTCTCCAACATCCATTTGCTATAAAAAGAAAACGTCTTTATTAACAAACTAAAAAGCTGTCTTGCATAAAGCAATGCCTAGATTATAAGATCAAATAAATTCCCTCTTAGGTTATTCTTAACTGTTTAATATATTTGTATGTCTTTATTTTCAAAAGAAAAACACATTTTAAATACAATAAACATTTTACTAAATATTTAATAAATTGTAAAAAAATTACATTTTTTGTTTTGTTTTTGGCATTTCTACTGCCAATCAGAAAATGGTGTGAGAGGAAGAGGTAGTGAAATGAAAGTTTTATACAATTTGTATAACATATATAACATATTTACAATGTATAATAAATAGTGGAAATGGAATCATAATACTAAAAAGCTTGTGGAAATAAAAAAAAACTAAGTACAAAAAAGCACAATTTTTAGGAAAATTTCGAAATGTAATAAGATGTGAAATAGGATTATGATTGAACAATGGAATGTTATATGCAAAATGCTTAAAATCATACCTCAGTAGCATGAGCTATATCCACAATTCTAATATATACTGTTTTATATTTATCATCAATTCCGCACAACTGTCCCATTAATATTTTGCCTTGAGTTAACTCCTTGAACTTTTCTGTAGCTTGGGTGGTCCAAGTATCTGAATCATAAGGTTCAATTCCATATAAACAAGCTCTTATAGCACATCTAGGCATATGGAACATCTTCTCGTATAATATGTATATGTTATCTGGAGAAACTGTGCTAGTATAACCAAAGTCTAATAAAAATACAATTATCCTATCATCTGGTCTCACTGTATTTGTAATCTCCACAATAAGAGCCCTATAAAACCCATTATCTGTGTAAACTGCACAGTAAGTGTTTCTTTTCATATATTCTACTGGCATTCGATACTCTTCATATTTTTCATTGTAAAAACTGTTCATATATGAATAAAATAAATTTAACTCTTCTGTAAAATGCACTATCCAAAATTTGGAAGGGTCATAAATATTTCCTACCCTAATATTGTAGATTGATTCCAACTTCCAATTAATGCCATCATAAGAATGAGGTATATCATTTTTATATACACTGTCTTCTGTTTTTTCTGTCATATTAAAACTGTTAAATTCCTTAATAAAAAATTAATAATTTTTAAGCTTCATTCTAAAACCATAGGATAATCTTTTATGTTATGTTGTTGTTGATCAGTTATAAGGTTAGTTGAATTTTAAATTTTAAACAATTACTAACTTCATGTTCGTTACTTCTCTGCTTCATATCGAGAACTAAGCGAATGGACCTTATAATATCACATATTACAGCCACTTAAAGCTACGTAGAGCTTTTTTAGTTTAGGTGGCTGTGATAATATCATCGAGCAATAAGACAAAAGAGGGAATCTAATCGTTATAAAAAGGAGACCAAAAAAGTGGCCTCTGATGGCGGACACATTCGGAAATGCAAAGGCGCCAAATTTAAATTTTTCGACACTTATCAACAGTAGCTATATAATATTTCACAGAATGTGTCTTAGACGAGAAACTTTTAATTAATTATTAATGATAAGAGTCTAAAATGCGACACAATTGTTAAAAAACTTCAATATAAATAAGATTTCGTGTGACATTTGGGACAAACAATAACATAACCCAACTAAATTTGATGTCAAACAAGGAGAGAGACTCTCTATCCTTGTCTAAAGTGGCCTCTCTAATGACGTATAATATATAGACTCGGTGAACGCTTTAAAAAGTGTCCAAAACATGAATACCTTTGTTATTGTTTATTGTTTTGATAGGAAGATGCACGAAGTTCATGATTTCTTACGAAGCATCACGAAGTTGATCTTGTGTTTGAAAACATCATGGACGTACTCCATTTTGTGTGACAAGCAAATTTTATTTTAAATTGTTGATAGTTATTTACTTACTATTTTAGTAAAATGCCATACTATTTTATCAAAATAATTATTTCTCTTATAGACGGGAACAAAAAGAAATCATAAATATTTAATTTTAATTAAAAAAATAATTATTGTCATTAACATATAAATGAGCACGCCGCTGTTCTAATCAAACATACCTTCAACCTTGAGCCGAGATCTTTCGGACACTCGATTCTATAGCGAGAATAGGGGACTGCGTAGTCTATATATTATACGTCATTGGGCCTCTCAAGATGGCACTTCCTGTCTATCAATATGTTTACCCCTTCTACCTTTACATTCCCTCTTTTGTCTTATTGCTCGATGGATAATAATAATATATATAATATACGTCATTGTCAAATCTGTCTACGAAAAACATGGCGGCTGATGAAAAATCTGTTTCGTATTTTAAGTTGCATAACTATTAGTCATTAGTGTAAAATCGTAAAATTTCTCCAAAAATAATGACATTGGATATGAAGTGTAAACATATTTTTCATATTGTTTTATTTAAACATATAAGTATGCTCAATTGTAGTAGCATTGTATCACAGAATACTCCATTGGAGTGCTTGTATATTTTAAAATTATAATTGGAAACAACTCCTTGGCCAATTTTAACTTAAGTGTGCTCATAGATAAGGAGTGTGGTGCGCTTCCACCAATATTTAGGATGTCAAAATTTAAAATTTTAAGTATATGAAAAATATGATTATACTATCGTGATTATACTAAAAAATAAAAGAAAAGTAGTATATTACGATTATTACGACAAGTATTTATAATTTGACCAATCTTTTTAATACCAATTTTTTACCACCAATTGGCTATCGTGTTGTAACACAAAATTAACATTAACTCATTGTTTCTATACCATAGACATGTATTTTAATAATTGTCAATTGCACCGATGAATACTCTACTTGAAACATCTGAACAAAAGGAGCCTCAGTCGCTTCCAAGGAAAATATCACCAGTTGGAAAAATTTTTGTAGCAATCACAGGTAAACCTAACCTCAATATTTATAGAAAATACTTATACCTAAATACAATGTCCATTACGTTTCAGGAGGTGTTGCAATTGGTTTGACAGTAATATGTGCCCCATTTATCAGTCCCGCATTTCGAAAATATTGTTTGCCGTACATTCCAGCTACAGATAATCAAGTTAAGAATATATTGGCTGCTCTCAAAGGACGAAGGGGTACCCTTTTAGATTTAGGATCAGGAGATGGCAGGATTGTTTTAGGTAATATTTTTTTAATTATACTAGCGCTCTGTTATATATTTAAAGAGAATGGGTACCTATATAACACCTAAAACCTACAGTGCCATATTCTTATGATGTATAAATTTATTCTGTAATTTAATATATTCTATAATATAATTAAAAAGGTTCAGAAATTCTTTTCTTGTGGCAAGTCTAAGTTAAATCGAATATGATATTCAGTCAATGATTAAACGTTTATATGGGTTTAAGGATGTTGATAAACATGGACGCATTATGTCTCTATATTTTTTGGTTGCAAGTTGTGACATTGATGTTAGAAGTGGTGTATTTTTTTCTGTCAACTAAGATATTATATTGCTTTTTTTATAATTAGTTGTAGATGTTCTATTAATTTGTACATTATGGTATGGATTACTGTCGGTGACAATTTTAGTCAACATATACAAATCACTTACCTTCACTTCTGTAGTATTTGATATTGTCTTAATATTTAAGAAATAGAGAACAAATGTTATTTAATTTAATTAATCATAGATTTATTTTCACTTTCTTACATTTAAATCCTGACTCTTTAAATCTCAAACCTTTTACAACCCTGTAGAGAGAACTCACACATCCAGTCTACTTGTACTATTATTCGAGCCATTTCTGTAAAAACTTGATACACAATAACCTTCAGTCTTATGAAAATGATAAATTGTGTTTCTAATAAACTGTTTATCTAAGTTAGTTAAGTCAAACAGTGTTCATATATATTTAAACACATTGTAAACTATTTCTTTGGATTCTGATGTCAGTCTGATCTCTTTACTCATACTACATGTAATCATCTCCATTCTACAACATAATTTCTAATATGAGTATTCACACCTTTCTTTATGATACAGGAAAACATAATCAGGCTGAATTACAAACTCATTTTAAATCCAGTGGTTAGAAATTCTTGAAAATAATTCTCGTCAGTTCTTTGTGTCTCCTTAATGACTATATAATTATTGCTTTTTAAGATAAAATAATACAGAAAATGTTAAAGATGCTACATATTATATGGTGCAGAAACTTTTGGAAGAATATAATAAGTGGGGTCTAGGAAACAACCTAGACAGAAGGGAAAATAATAAACCATACCAATGAATATAAAGACATCTGAGAAAATACAGAAAAACCGTTGTTCACAACACTGGTGTAAACTAGGGTTACATATGGCTCAAAAGTCTGAATAATAGGTAAGAGCAGGCAAAACAATTTTTGGCAATACGTTGCAAACTCACACTATGTGACAATGTAAGAACAGATAAAGTTAAAGAAATAATGAGCATAGAAACAACAATAACAGATATCATAGAGAAAAGCTAACTTTTTTCGTATAGCTTCATGAAACTAATGAAAAATGAGAGGTTACCAATTAGAGATTACTGATGGACCTCAAGTAAAAGAAGAAAAAAGTAAGACCAAAGAAGTCTTGGGAAAAAGAAATTAATATTCCCATGAATAGAAGAGAGATAAGTAGACTCATGGCAAAACAGAAAACACATTTTTTGGCATGTGACATGTGAAATCCAGACAGAAAGCCATTTTCAAAGTAGAGTTTTAATACAAACTATATTTTCTATTAGCCCTGATGTAGATGCTGAAACATGAATTAAATAATTATTTTTAGATTGTGGTTTATTGTTGGATATTATGTTTTAATTTTGTAAGTGTAAAGTTTGATATGAACATTTTCCCATTGTAGAAACTGCAAAAAACAAGTTTATATCTCATGGTGTTGAACTGAACCCGTGGTTAGTAATATTTTCAAAAATATGTGCCCTAAGAGAAGGAATAACAAATGCAAAGTTTTATAGAAGAGATCTGTGGAAATACAGCATACATCAGTATGATAATATAGTTATTTTTGGAGTAGAACAGATGGTAAGTAAATTATTTCTTATTTTATTTTATACACATGGATGAATGACAAAAATTAATCACCATCATTCTTGGCGTATTTTATATACTCATTAGATCTCAGCCTCCCTTATATTGTCATTCTTCGTTTCTGCACACGATTGTCTGGTATTCGCTTCTCTGTGCCATGTTGTACCGTTCCCGTCATAAAAAACTGGTACAACTCTTATAATCAAAAATCGTGTTTTTTAAGTTGTGTACGTTGATCTTGTCAAATGTGTCATTCTGATTTCTAGGGCACCGTTGCCAGTTCAACGAAAATATTATATAAAATCAGCTAAAAGTAAGGCTGTGTGACAGACCACCAGTTTTGAGTATACTAAAAACTAAAACATTATCGAGCATTCTCTATCAGTCAGTCACATTAAATTTGTTTAAACATGCATCATAAAAATTCTCATATTAATTTTGTAATTTTCCATCAACTCAGTTAAGTACCCATACATTGATTTGTGTTTTATAACAATTTATGAAAATATTTTAATTCAAAAATAATGACAGATAATCAATCTAGACAAACTTTAAATTATTATAATAAAACATTACAATGAGAGATGGTATTGTAACTGTTACGTTTTGAAAAGCGTTTTTTCGCACTGAATATTTTCTGGTATATAATACGTAGGATAAAGTATAATATTAGTTTTTCACATTTTTTATCGTTCTTGTAATAAATAATAAATTAATCTTGGTAGTTTGCCTGTTACAAAACTTATTGACACAGAATACAGTTCGAGTTACAGTAGAAAATTATAGTAGATTCATTCCAGTGGTCCCTGTGCCAATACCCTAGGTTTAAAGATCCTTCAAACATTTTGGATAATAACTCAACCCTATCTCTGCTTATTTAATTTCTTAGATTCAGTTTTTTTTTGGTAATGATAAAAATAATACGTATCTAACAATTTTATACATTTTTGAACGTTATTTTTTATTTAGATTTAGTGCAATTCCGTTATCTGTAATGGCAACAACGAATTGATTTCTGAACACAGGTTTACATTGGGAAAAAAAAAGTGTACCAGTTTTATATGACGGGAAGTGTACCTGCTTATGTCTTTATGTCATGGTCCCATCTTAAGTTTTGCTGTCGTCTGTGTATCTTGAAGTATCTTAGATACCAC